AAATTTTTTAGGTGAGGAATTTTCGCTAATTGCTGATTTTTTCTTAATGCTCTGGTTTGAGAGGAAAAATTAAATTTTATAGAAAAATAGAAATAAATTTTATAGAAAATAAAACCACGAAATCACTTAAAATATACAGATTTAGGCTTATCTAGTTACTCTGTACTTGACAGAGAGGCTCTCATTTGAAAAATGAAGGAGCGATCCTGGATGACCTCTAAAGTTCATGGCCATTCCAACATTCAGAGATTCTATAATAATCTCTCCCTTCTTGACTGTGAATGTTATCCATTACCTGTAGTAACTTCTGAGTCAAAATATAAATACTTTTGGAGGTGATCATTTGTACAGGTATTTCTATTCAAAAGTAAAACCAATGTAGGAAACAAATAAGTCATGTAATTCACATGGACTTACTAACTGCCTAGATACAGCAAATTAAGTGGCATCGACATTTAAACAAACGGTCTATCAGGTTTCACAGATAAATAATGACTCAAATAATGGCCATAAGAATGCTTCTTTCTTTACTAGAAAGTACTCAAAGAGAAATGTTCTAAAGGATTTTTGTGGTTCAATGACCTCAGCCAACTTGCCAGTTCAAGGTCTCCAACATCTCATTTCCAAAGAGCTACAGCCCACATAGTGCCTAAGGGGCTAAAACTATTCCTGTGCTGACTTCACTATTGGGATTTTCTTCTGTAATGCATGCTAGCTATAGGATGGTCATTTTAGAACCCCAATTGCCTGACTTAGCCTCCACCTCTTTCTACCAGTTACCTCCTCTATTCTATCCTATTCCTATACTAATTACAAAATAACGACAACAATAACCACTAATGATAAATAACAAATATAAAAGATCGTTTCCATCCTTTGAGAAAGGACATCTAGTTCTTCTTCATACTACTTTTTATCTATGGTGTTTTACAAAGAGCACAGGCAAGAAAAATCAATTGGATCTAGTTCTAGTCCCGATTTTGCCACAATATATAGCTGTGTAACTTTTTATAAACCACTGACTTGCTCTGACTCTAGGATTTCTTATCTAAGAAAGAGTTTTTCTGCATAATGCCAGGGTAAGCTATCATATTGTGCTCCAGGGATGCCATTTATAAAGCATCTAATGTGAACCATGGCCCTATAACTGTATAATGTCAGATCTGCCCTACTAGTTCTTACATTTTTATTCTGCAATACCAAGATTTTGAAATCCAAGACCTTCATCGTGTAATTTCAGTATTCCCACTGCATTTGTAAAGTTTCAATATTATACATATCAAAACTTGGTTAGCTAAAACAAGAGATTGAGGGACACTCAATATATCGGCCCTAAAATCAGAAATACAAACATGGTCTTTCCTATCCAAAACTTGGCTTAGTTTTACTGTCTCAGCCTCACTCCTCTGGAAAGTCTGGTTAGTGGACTATGACCACTTTACCAGTTGTGACTCCGTTTGTAGTTCACAAGGATATAGCTTAGTAGGACTAGTGAGTTCAAGAATAGCTCAAATATTAAGTGAACATAACATCAAAGTGCTAATAAAACAGATACCCTCAAATAGTTTTTCGTTTTGGTGTTTATCGACTTCCTCCCAATCCAGTTAAAGAATCTGCCCTGAAATTGAGATGTGGAAAGTGCTATCTCCCTATAAATAGGCTCATCTCATGCTATGTGAATCATGGTTGCTGACAGTAAATCAACAGATTAATTATTTGGCTTTGTTAGTAACGATAATAGTACACTATCGTCTTCCCAAAAAGCTTTTCTGCACCCCACACTACCATTCTTCTAATCTAAGTTTCAGAACGAACTTAAGTCCATGGTGTATAGACACGCATGTTGCCCTTGCACTGGGCAGGTCTTAACAGATACTGTCATCTCTCTGCCAGATTATTACTGTGACACTTTAGCTAAAGGAAGCCACCAGTCAGGATCATTTCTGCCAAGATGTACACTAAGTAGATGAAAAAAAAAAGGAGCAGATTAAATTAACACTGAAGAAAACAATACACTCAGCAATTCTCTCAAATTCTCTATTTTCTAATGTGATGCTGAGGAAAGAGCTACAGGAAGCAATTTCCCTATGCAAAATTCAGCCATGCAAATTGTTCATCTCCAAAACAACTTCAACAAATGTCAGGTGAGTTTATTTTATCCATTCACAAATACAATCCACCTATCATTTTTATTGCCTCATTTTCAACTGAGGAGACTGAGTAGGATCTATGCACAAATATCATATAATTATTCTAACTAGAGTGCAAGAACATACTTCAGAGACTGAGATATAAGAGTCACATTGAATTCAGAGCCTTGAAGTTTCTTTTCTTGTAGACCACATAAGCCCTGAGAGATGGCCCTCAACTGATCATTGTACAATACCAGGAATTTTATTTTCCCCTAATGTGAATTATTTACTGTGCAGAGATAACTCTAGTTTTTACGCAAATCTTCACTTTATAAAATGAGCAGTGTATAATAATTGGATGCAAAAATAACACAGATTTCAGTAGTTCCTGCCTTGGGATCATAATGATTTTTGTTTACTCCTAAGATTTACTATTTTATCAACATCACAGAATGAGAAAATGAGCCCACTATGGAGATCTCAAGATAATGTCATGAAAACCCAATGGAAAAATGAGATGAGATTGCTTCTCCACAATACTTAATCCCAAATTTCTAAACTAAGTCTGAGCTCCAAATGTCCACACTTTCCAGTGTTTTCCTCACCCTAAAAACCCTAGCCCATATGCTTCATTCCTGGAACCCAGGAGAACGTTACAATCAGCGTTGCAAAGACACTAACCTAAACCAGTCAAGGAATCACAGAAAGCAAGACAGTATTTCCTTTCAATCTTCCACTGTAAGGGTAGAATATCTGCAGACTGTAAATGACCCTACGGGACACACCCAGAGGATCAATAAAGTCTGATGGAAGCACAGACCTTGGCTTTCATTCTCTCAAGCTTGGACACTGGCCTGGATTGAGCTGGGAATAATCACTCTGAAACTCAAGATACTCAATTTCTCTTTGTAAGAGACCAACCATTGAGTTTAGGGCCAAAGAAGACAATCAGCTTCAGAAAGGCCATGCCAAGAAAATCTCTAATAAGACTAAAATTTTCTTTACACTCCCTGAGGCCAAACTGCAGATACTATGTTTCTTTTTTCCTTAATATCTCAAAAGTAAGTGTGAGTGTGCAAAGGATGAGAGTAACAGCACAGAAAAGTTAATGAGCAGAGTCCTTGGAAACCATCAAAGTAGTTGGAGAAAGAGCATAGGAAGAGAAGGTCTATGTAAAAGGAAGTGAAAGGACATGTGGGAAAATGAGGTGAGAAATTGATCGGAATGTCTGAAAAACACAATAGCATGTGTTGCTGGAGGAAGAGTTAGAAAAAGAGAAAAAATTTAAGTTCCTCTAGTGCCTACTAAGTGTCTATGATGTGTCAAGAAAAGTGTCTATTATGCTAAATGTTATGACGAATATATGGGTTTCGTTTTTTGTTTTTTGTTGTTGTTTTTTTTAATATTTAGGCGTGTCTATTATGCTAAATGTTATGACGAATATATGGAAGGGTTTTGGTTTTTGTTTTTTGGGGTTTTTTTTTAATATTTAGGTCCTCAGTAGGTAAAATAAGCACTGGATGGATGGATGGATGGATGGATGGATGGATGGATGGATGGATGGATGGATGGATGGATGGGAGAAAGAGAATGAATGAGGTCACTGCCCTCAAGGACTCTACAGGCTATATGGGACTAGAAGCATCTATACATGTAACTCTCATTCTAATCAAACCATGGTTAAATCAAGGTATAAAGTGTTTTACCGAATATGGGACAAGCTATTAACTGACAGAGGGTGACTTAAAGAGAGATGTCTGGAAATTAGGGGAGAAGGGGGGCGGGATAGAAGAGGGGATCCTGGTGCCTTCAATGAGTGCCCCCAGGTGCTTTGCAGAAGGGGAGAGGGTGTCAGCCTCTCGGTAGCCCATTGTGCCGGCTTCTACTGACCTGGTCTCCGCCTCACTGGCCTCTTGCGACCGCTGCAGAAGCGCACTTTGCTGAATACCCCGAGGACGTGCCTCTCACACAGGGAGCGCCCGTCTTTGCTAGGGCTGGAGCGGCGCTTGGAGGCCGACACCCGGTCGCTGTTGGACTCTCTCGCCTGTCGCTTCTGCCGGATCAAGGAGCTGGCTATCGCCGCAGCCATAGCTGCTCAGCGCGGGCCCCAGGCCCCGGGCTCCACTGCACCTTCGGGATTGCACTCCGCTGGGGCGAGGGCAGCACCTCGGCAGCCAGGAGGGACAGGGCAGGCGCGGGGAGGCAGTGCTAATACTTGAGGAGGCTGCAGTACCGAAAACCCGGCGCCCACAGGGTTAGACAGAGTCTGGGCAGTGGCGACAAAATGTGTGAAAATCCAGATGTAAACTTCCCCAACCGCTGGCGGCGGGGGCGGGGCGATCCCAGGCCTTCCTGTTAACTAGACTCTTGCACCCCAAACTTGCACCCTAAGGCAATCCACGTCCAAGGGGCAAAGGGAGTTTGGTCACACTGCGTTCAGAGTACCAAGTGGAAGGGGAAGAAGGATGTCCAGAACAAGCCGTGCCCCTGTTGTGGAGGCGCAAGCGTTGTAAGGTGTCCAAAGTATATCTACACATACATATATATATGTATATATATAAAACCCGTTTACAAAGCAGAGTCTGGACCAAAGCGGGTAGCGTGCCCCCGGTAGAAAATACTAAAAAGTGAGTAAAACGTTCCTTTAGAAAACAAGCCACCAACCGCAAGAGAGAAGGAGAGGAAGGCAGCAATTTAACTCCCTGCGGCCCGCAGTTCTGGAGATTAGGAGGTCCGTCCCGGCTGGGTGAGGTCTATGGATTGCATCGCACCGGCTGCCGTTCTCCAGGGGCCGGCTGCTCGAGTTCTTGAATTCCGAGAGGCGCGAAGTGGGAGCGGTTAGCGGGAGTCGGGGTAGGGGCGCTGAGCGGGGGCAGCTGTTTCCAGCTGCGAAGAGAAAGACTCCCCGCCAGCAACGCTGCAAAGAGAGCAGGAGGCGAGGGAGGAGGGAAGGAAAGAGGAATAGGGAAGAAAGGGGGGAGGGAGGGAGATCCTCGAGGGCTAAGCACCCCTCAGGGAGAAACCGCGGGAGGTGAGCGCTGGGGATACACGGGGTCCCAAGAGCGGGCGCTCTTTCTCTTCCCGCTTGCTTTCTGGCACGAGACGGGCACAGTTGGTGATTATTTAGGGAATCCTAAATCTGGAATGACTCAGTAGTTTAAATAAGCCCCCTCAAAAGGCAGCGATGCCGAAGGTGTCCTCTCCAGCTCGGCGCCCACACGTCTTTATCTGGAGCTCCCCACCATGGTCCGCCCGGGGCCGCCGCACCGAGCCTATCTCCGCACAGGCTCAGAGGGAGCGAAGGAAGGAGGGGGCACCCTGGCGGGCTACGGATCAGGTCATCGCTGCGCTGCCCCAGCTCCCCAGGTTCGCGCCGCCCGGCAGTCGACAGCTCACAGGCAGCAGATCAGATGGGGATTACCGCTGGACGCAAGGCCGATCACTTAGTCCCGCGCGGCCCATCCCGGCCGAGGAAGGAAGTGACCAGCGCGCTGCGAACACCGCGCGTCCGCTCGGGCGGGGCGGGGGTAGGCTGTGGGCGACGTCGGCTCGAGGTGGCTGCGGCTCAATGCTGGAGCTGCCCACCATGGTCTGGCGCCGGGGGCGCAGTTGGGGCCCCTAGGCCACCCCAGGCGATGGAGGCAGGTGGCCCAGAGCGCAACCCAGGCCTCGGGGCTGGACGCAGACTCTGGGGCCAGGGCCAAGAGGCAGATGCGGGCTGCCGCCAACTCGCCCAACTTGCTGTGCGGGTGGCCGTTCAGAGCCTCGTGCTAGCAGGGCGCCCCCTGCCGCAGCGCCTTTGCAGCCCCTGGCCCTGGAAGGGGCTCTCAGGGCCGAGTCCCATTCATGGGCTCAGACTCTGGGAGCGCGGAGCCATACCGGCTCCTGGGCGCCACTGCCTCCTCCCAGCCAGCTCGCCCGGCTGGAGCGCTAGCTCCGCAGGAAACTCCAGGTAGGGTCTACCGCTGCCGAGAGGGAGGTGGGATCAAAAGCGGGCAGCGGCGAGAGTACCTCCTGCACCGCTTGCCCACCCTCCGGAGAGCTCCAGAGTGCCTAGGTGGGGCCAGGCTTGGTCCCGGGCTTCTGGAGCTCTGGGAAGAGCCTCTTGCTCTCGTCCTCCTCCCCTCCCTCGCGCCCTCTGCTCCCAGACTCCCTTCTCCTCCCTCCCTCCCTTCCGTCACTCCTCTCCCTCTTCTCTGTCTTCTGTCTCTCCCCTTTTCTCCTCTCTACGCAATCCTACGTGATTGAGGTTTGGATGAGAAATTCTCAGGCAGAGCGAGGGAACTGCAGCTCGGGTCTGCTCTGTCCCGTCCCTCCCCCAAGAGAAAACACTACCACAAGCCGGTTAAAGGACCCTGGGTGCTCTAAGAAGAGATTAGGGGTGGGAGAGCTGAGAGAAGGTAGTCTACCCTCTCTACAATAACCTGAAGCAGGTAGAATTCTCTGTTTAGGAAGGAAGGCAGTGGACACTGGAGAAAGTAACAATAGCCTCTTGGGCCCTGGCGTTGGGCCCCACCTTTAGCTCATTTTGGAACAAGAAAAGCGTCTCCTCTCCCTTGGAACCCAGATTTCTTGGTTCTATCTGGAAACCTGCAAAACAAGCTCAATCCCTAAAACGAGGGACCAGGTGAGCACCCTGCACAGAGAGGAGAATGAAGGTTGGGTGAGACAATAACTGTGGGCTAGGGCTGTCAACAACCAGCTTTGTAATGCAATCAGATCGCCAGGAGTGCTTGTGAAGACAGCTGGATGTTACAGGAAACTCAGCAGAGGAGATAATGTCACCCAAGTTAAAATGCAACATGAAAGATTTTGGAAATGTAAAAAGAGTAATCACCTTCCATTCACTCCAAGGTCTGGAAGTGGCTATTAGTTATAATCGCTCTCCAACTTGTCTTCAAATATCATTAATGACTCCCCTTCACAGACACCTCTCTAAGCATCAAGGGCAGTGCCCAAAAATTAAATGGATGACTTCCGAGCAGAAACAGGTGTATACTGGAAATACCCTAGTTGAGGGCAAAGCAAATGCAGGCAGTGAAAGCTACTGAAAATAAATATGGGACCCAGAGAGCTCTTGGAACTCTCTAGATGTGGCCACAAACCTGTAGGCCTAGCAGAAATTCACTTAGTCAATGAGAAGGATTGAGATTTATGAGGTTGTTTAGCCCAAGCCCAGTGTCAAACAATCCTACTGTGTCTGAGGGCCTGGAACTTTTATGCTGCCACTAGGCATAACACAGGCAGACAGCTGGGAGGAGGATTAAATAGGCAGGCATCTTGAGAAGGGAGGATTCTCAACTGCCAATGAAGCGCATATCCCCTGCAGCAGTTCATTGTGGCTGAATGAGGACAGCAAACTTGGGATTTTAACAATACAAAATAAAACAGGTGGATACATTTTCAAAAGTGCATCTGGATGGGGCAAGAAGATCATCACTTAAAATCAAGGTAACCACTATATGAATTAGGCAAATGTTCATATTCCACAGATAAAATTATTTTCCTTACTTGGCTACCAGACTTGTCTCATTCTTGAGTAAGGCAGGCACAGATAGTACTGGCTGGCACTGGGGACTCTGGGCCTTGTTCAGGTCAACACCAAAAAAGAAAAAGTTCATGAAAGAAAGGAATCTAAAGAAATAGGCAAGAGGAGGGTGTATAGTGAGGCCTTGAGAAAATCATCGCTAAACTGAGTCTCTTTCTTATACTCAGAATGGAGACAATCATTCCTGTCCACCTCACAGAACTGAATATGTATGTGCAAGCATTTGAAAAACTGGAATATGCCAAATGAAAAAGATGATGACAGTGTTAGGTTTTTTTTAAGAAAATGCATAATACTCTTCTGAGATGCTTTTTTAAAATGCAGATTCTTGATTATTTCTCAGAATGTAAAGGAGAAATCTCTATGAGTAAAGCACAGAAATTTGAGTTTTTAACAAGTTCTTCAGTATCATATGTAGGTATATGTGTGTGTGAAAATTATATATAATATATATGTTTTTTTTTTTGTATATATATATAT